ACGTTATGCGGTGTTTTGCACATTCTACATTATTCTTTAGCATTGCATAGTATTCCATTGTGTGTATGTACCATAGTTTGGTTATCCATTCCTCAGCTGATGGATATCTAGGTTGTTTCCATGTTTTGGCTATTTCAAAACAACATTTTAACCTCTACTTCCCTCTGTCCTAAATTTTGAAATGAATGCAGCCTGATGCAAATCTTGCCTTTACCTTGATATCTAGCAAGTCATCTGTTTGAGTTTTGGCTTGCTTGGTCTTCAAAAGGGAGATAAAACTTTCTGTGAGGTTTCTGGATAGGTTCTTGGTTTCATTCATTCTTCATGCATTTAAATTATGCACCCATCTAAGTTACTTACTGACCTTGAGAACCTAACATTGTCAGGATGCACTATTGTAGTCCCTCCCCACAACAAGCCATTTGTTAACATGTGTTAACAGATTAAACAGAATGGAATAATCCAATTTCTCATCATCCATAGTGAGAGCTTTGTTTATTAAACATAGAATATCTGAATGCTATACATTTGGATATGAATTTTTTGGTTGTTCTTGTTCCCTTCTTTAGTCTAACTCTTCATTCTTAACTTCAGTGTACTTAAAATTTCTCTAAACAGTGGTATACACGAAGCCATACAAAGCGTATTTTACTGATGGTTTTTTAAGGTGGGGGTTGGCAAACTGCAGTCGTTGAAATACAGCCATACCCTCTTATTTATGTATCGTCCACATCCACTGCAGTGTCAGAGTTGAGTAGTTGGGACAGAGTCCATTTTGGCCCACAAAGCTTAAAATGTTTTTTATGTGACCCTTTAATGAAAAGTTTGCTGACCTCTGATTTAAGGGATATTTGTCAAGGATAATTTTGATTGCATATAATTTTACTCTCCTTTGCTAGCTTTAGGACCCCCTTCATATACACACACAAGCACACATGCATGTACTAAGTGATGCCCCCCACACACACACACACTATTCAGACCCTTGATTCTGCAATTCCACAGCTCCACTTCTTATATTGTGATTATTTCTGTATCTGTCTCACCATTAGACTGTGAGATCCTGGAAGGCAGGTAACCATATCTAACTCATCTCTGTGGCACAGGGTCCAGCATATGTAATAAAGGTAAGTTGAACAATTGATGCCTACTATGTGCCAGGCCTCAGGGGTAATGAAGATGGATCATGTTTAGAGCTGGCCCTCAGGGAGATCACAGTGTTATGGTTTCCCTATTTCAGTGAAGCACGTTTGCATCCTCCTCTACAATAAGGTTTGTGTGTGTATGTGTGTGTGTGTCTGTCTGTCTGTCTTTAATCCAGGCTAGGAACATCAAGTTAGTCTGTGGAGCTGCCAGTGAAGATGAAGATTCCGCCTCAGAAGGTCTAGGAGAACCTTTGCTTGATGGGATCATTTCTGAGAACCCCTGTGGAGCCAGAGTGAGTCTAGATGACCAGGGCAGGCTGAGCTGGCCTGTGCTCTTTCTGTACCCGGAGTATGCCCAGTCGGACTTCATCTCTGCCTTCCATGAGGACTCCAGGTATTTACTTGCCTGAGATCCCTCTGCTCTTGCTTACATACTCTCTCCCCATTGATTGGGAAGTAGCGACTGGTAGAGTTCTGCTTAAGGAGGAGGAAATAGAATAGTTCAGAGGGTTTCACACAGGCTGGTTTGGTGTAACTCCTTTATTCTGAGGCTGATTTCTCCCTTACTAACAAGGTTTACAAGTCTAGTAAACTTGGGCTGGTACGTGTAACACCACAGTAGGGTGTTTACCAAAGATTATATCCACGTTCACATATTGCTGGTGAAATATGAAATCATTTCAGGTTGTACATAGATAGCAATTTAAGTGTGTAAATATTAGAAAAAAATATATAATTAGCACATTTAACTTGAGATATCCTAAAGTTAATGCTTAGAATGTGGCTAAACGTCAGTATTGTTGTTAAGCCTGAGTCAACCTAAAGAGCAATATGATGTCAGTAGTTGGAGTTACACATGTATGTATTTTGGATGCTACTGTCAAAAATGGCTTGCACCTGCCTTGCATATTTTATATATTCCTAATAAATGTTAATAATCCCACCCAGGGATTGTGGTGTGGGAAGCAGATCATGAGCTAGTGACACCCAGAAAGCACATGTTGCACCCTTAGGTTTATGGATCATCTAATGGTGATGTTTGGTGAAATACCTTCTTGGGACTTGGAGCAAAAATACTGTCCTGATAACTTAGAGGTAAGAGATGTTTTACTTTGTTCTTCTATGAGATTTTTTTTTAAACAATCACACATTTACAGTATAAATTATCTTCTAATCATTGAAGAGTAAGATGCCACTTGATGCCCTGTCACCCCCAAACACTTAAGTATGTACTTCCTTACATTTACAGCTGTATTTCTGTGTGTGTGTACATATACACACACATATGTAACCATGAGTTCTCACTGGTATCTCCAGTTCTAATCCAGTACCACAGATTTTATATTCTTGTTTTCTCCCTTCTTATATCAGTGACTTTATTATTATTAATTCTTATATTTTTATTCATTTGATCAGTCCCTCATATTTAGTTTACTGTCACCACCATTGCCCCCTTCCCCACATGGAACCTTCCTCACCCAGCTGGACTCTAAACTGCCATGTCAGGCTACTGCCCCTGCACAGGAGCCTTACTCGTCCTGTGCAGAACTCTGGCACTGCAGTGCTTAGCCACCGTGTGTGAACAGCCGCCTTATCCTGCTCGTGCTCTGACACCCCACAACAGGCCCCACTCTGTGTGTATGACCTCCTTACCCCACTTGGGCTCTGACACCCTGATAGTTAGCCAGCTTACAAGGAAGCCCTCTCGCCTTGCCCAGGCTAGCCATCTCCAGTGTGGGTGCTCTCCGCCAATAGCCAGGTGCTGACACCCTCACCCTCTGGCTGCTCTGCTATGCAGATGTCCTCCTTGCCCTTCTTGGGCTTTGACAGCCTGCACAGCTGTCCCTTCTGTGGCCATCCTTCTCATCTTGCTCAGGCTCTTCCCCTGCTCATGGCTTTCTCCCCTCCATACATAGTGGATCTTGGACTGAATTATTAAGGAAGGGAAAGCTATACAGGCCTGGGCTTGAATCCTGGCTGCTCGGTTAACTAGCTGGGTGACTTTGGCAATTACTTCACATCTCTTAGCTTTGGTTTTATATTTGGAAAATGGAGCTGGTAATACTTTTCTTTCAGTATCGTGAGGAGGACTAAATGCAAAGTACCCATATCCACAACTGTATAAAGGAGTCACTCAACTGATAAGAGTTGCCATCTCTTTACCTTTTTCCCAGGCTTGGCTGCAACACATCTAATGCTGCTGAATGAAGCCTTTTATTCACACCTGACTACTGGTTCTCTAAAGAGCTCTGGTGGCACATGGTTAAGCAATCAGCTGCTAACTGAAAGATCAGCAGTTCAAACCCACCCAGTGGCTCAGTGGAGAAAAGACCTGGCAAATCTGCTCCTGTCAAGATTACAGCCTTGGAACCCCTATGGGGCAGTTCTACTCTCTCCTGTGGGGTTACTGTGAGTTGGAATCAACTCACTGGCACACAACAGCAGCAACAACAGCACTACTTACCTGTTAATCTTGCAGGTCTACTTTGAGGATGAGGAGAGGGCAGAACTATACCGGGTGCCTCCTGAAAGCACCCTGCTGCAGATGCTGCAGCATCCGAGGTGAGTCACCTGTGTGGCACTGAGTAGAATGGAAGGGATGCTCACGCACAGTCCAAGGCAGACAACCAGGTTCTTAGGCCATCAGTGGCTTCCAATTTCGTTGGTTGATTGCTTTCTGCCCTCTCACTTCTGACCTGGGTACAAAGCTGTGTGAGACAGCAGCCATGGAGTTTGGCCTGGCCCGTTAAACTGGGCCATTGGCCAGACAGGATGCTATGAGTGACTAAGCTCATTGCACTGCCCCATGACACCCTCAGGCTAGGGGACATGAGTGAGGTTGGTCTGAGCAGGGAAAAGATGCCTAGCATTTGTACCTGAGGGCAGCTGAGCTGGTCCTCCTCGTAGTTGTACCTGTGTCCCCTGCAATTGTTGACACACATTCACTTGCTGTGTGACCCTAAGCAAATCAGTACCTCTGGAAGGCTGTTCCCTCATCTCCAGAATGGGAATAAGTCATGGCCTACATATCTCAGGGTTTTTGAGAGCCAATGAGAGTAGGCTTCCAAGTGCTCTGGTAAGCTGTAAAGCAGTCCTGCTACAAGAGGGCATCTTTGTTACTGGTGGTTGCAGCAAGTTGGATTTGGTAAGTTACCTCTTTCTGTAACTGTGGTGTGTTCCCAAATTTCCAGAGAATGCCCTCAGTCAATGTATAATTTGGCTGCTGCACTACTTCTCCCTGAGCTCTGAGCAAAGCAAAGCAGAGAAAAGCAGATGCTTTTGCAGTTAGGCAGAAACAACCCAATGTCTGAGGTGAAAGAGGTTGTTGGATGTGGTGGGAAGTGAGTCCGGAGAGCTGAGTTAGGGCCGTGCCTGAAGGGCTTGAATGCCTTACAAGGGGTGTACAGTTTATCCTGATGGCTGTGTGGCGCTGGAGAGGATGTTTGTTTTGTTTAGATAAAACTTACATACAGAGTTTAAGAGTCCTGTTCGCTGGTGAGGCCTGAAGTAGGAGAGGGATTAGAGAGGTTAGAAGGAGATTGGGTGGCAGTTGGTGATGTGCTGCTGACTGACTCAGTAGAGGTGTCATGTTAATTTGCCAGTTTTATAAACAACCAATCAAATAAATGTGCTAAACTTGCATTAGTGTTGACTCACTTCCAACGGTTCACATTGAAGGTTGTTGTGAAGGTCCATGGATGATTAAGATTGTGATTCAGTTAACCTCCTCTCTTGTATTCACTGCAGGTACTTTGTAAAAGCCCTGACACCAGCATTTTTGGTCTGTGTAAGATCCTCTCCTTTTTGTAAGAATTATCTCCGGGGAAGAAAGGTGCACCGGGTAAAGTGACCAAACCAGGCTATGGGAGCCAGCCCCCTGGACCTCTTCTCTCCCTCCTGTGGCAAGAGACTAGCACACTTGATCAAGATTTGAGATGCTATTTCTGTCACTCTTGGGACAGTGCTTCCTAGCATCTGGTTGGAGAAGTTCTGCTAACTTCCCTGAACTATAGTCTCTCTGGCCAAAGTACAGAGCATCATCAGCTGGTCTCCACTTTTCTTCTGTTGACACAAAACTGTGCCTTGGTCTCACTATAAGCTAGCTATGTTAACTACCAGCCTTCATGTCAGAAGAGCCCATCAACTGCAGTTACCACAGCAGCTGACCCAAGTGACTAACTGGCCTGCAGAGACGGGCTTAGGATCCAGTGACATGGTTCTGAACCTCTGGAGTTAAGACAACCGAGAGAAGCTACCCCTCAAATTGCACTTACTTGCCTAAGCAAATGGTACATGAAATCTTAAGGCATTTACTGAACCACTGAAAGTGGCTAAGAGACCCTGGTCTCCAGCTATTTCATGAGCACAGAGGGGAGTTGTTGGGATGTTACAGATGCCTTGGGGTGAGATGGGGCCAGGAAAGCCAGGTTCCATTTCTGCATTTATAAATGCCATACAAACAGGTCCTCAGTACCCCTAAAAATATTGCCAGTGTTCCTGATCTTTGTAAGGTAGAGGTATATGATAGACTTAAGCCTCTGAATTCCTCTCCAGTTTTCACATTTTAGAATTTTGTGCCTTTTGAACTGAAAAACCATTTTTTGCATGTTGGATCATTGTCATAGTTTATATTTTTGTCCACAGCTATCTTTATTCCCCCTCCGTGTTTGAGGATTTTGTATGCCCTGGCCTGTAGTCATCTGCCTTTTTGCAGTGCCCACCCCATCCCCCAGGGTTGCTTTTCTAACATTGGACTTGGGTCTGTGACTTGATTCCAAAGGGGTGTGAGTGGATAGTGCCATGTTCAAACAAGCTTGAAGAGCCATCGTATGGGAGAACATGTATCCCAAATAAGTGCTTTTCTTTCAGCCTGGATCCTAGAATAAGACACATGGAACAGAACTGAAGCAGCTGGCCTACAGCCATTGATTGCGTCATGAGTGAGAAATGTGTTTATTATAGTAAACACTGCAATTTGGGACTGTTTGTTACTATAGCAAAGCTGACAAATGCATTAAACTGAAACCAGCTCTATCCATACAATGGACTGATTGGGGGTTTGATGTTATGTGTTTGTCTTTGAAGGGAAATTTGCTGTGAAGTATTTACAAAGAGCCATGTAACTAGCTTTCCTTCAGGTACAGGTCCTTGCCTGTGGCTTGTGATACAGCCGCCTTCCTAAGCCTGGTCTTGGGTATATTCAAGCCATTCTCCTCCCCAGCCAGGGATTTCACAGCTATCTAAGAACTCAGAACTGGTAGAAGGGCCCTCATATTTAACAGCATCCCTAGCAGGCATTGCAGTGTTGCTATCTCGGCCCTCTCTAGCTACCTCATTCTCACGGGGCACAGTAAAACCCACAGCAGGTTCCAGTGTGCCACCTTACTCACCTGTGAAACACTGCTTACCTGGTGCCCTTCTGGGACTATGGTGAGACTGAGATGAGATGCAGAGGTACATATACCTGAGAAGGTAGTGATGCATGCGAATTTCATCCCCAGCACCCAGTCCTGGCATCAGCCCACTTCTCTTTCTCATCCAGCCCTGGCATCAGCCCACTTCTCTTTCTCTTCAGTCTCTGCCCTTTATCCAGCTTGGGAGAGGGGAGAAAAGGGACTTCAAATAGTGGACTGTTAGACCAGGGGTTGAATACTGGTGGCTGCTGACTTGCTATGGCCATGGGTAAGGCATTGCCACTAGGAGTCCATAGGACTTATGTGCAGATATGTATGCAAAGTACCCAGCACAGTGCCTGGAACATGGTTATTCAGTAGCTCTTAAGCAAAGTGTAAGGAGCTCTGGTGACATGGTGCTTAAGGTATTTGACTACTAACCAGAAGGTTGGCAGTTCAAACCCACCAGCCACTCCATGGAAGGAAGACTGGGCAATCTACTTCCATAAAGATTTACCACCTCGGAAACCCAATGGGGGTCACTATGAGTCAGAGTCAACTCTATGGCAGTGAGTTTGGTTTTTGAGTTTTAAGCAAACTATATCTAGGACACATCTATGCTGACTGATAGCACTAGACCAAGTTTGCAACTAGGGTGATTTTACCTCCCACCAGACATCTGGCAATGTCTGGAGACATTCTTGGTGGTTCCAACTCAGTGGAGTGCTACTGGGATCCAGTGGGTCAGGGATGCTGCTAAACATCCTACAATGCACAGGACAGCCTCCTAACAAAGAAACAGCCATCCCAAATGTCAACAGTGCTGAGATTAAGAAACCTCACGCTAAACCAAAAAAATGAAATGAAAACTTTTATTCAGTCTAACAGGATCACAGTAGTCACCAGACTCTGTAAGTTGAAGCATTTATAATAGCAATTCCTAAGGGTGTCTCAGCCTTTCCCAGGACTAAAGGTAGAGGGTATGGAGAGGAGTCCCCGGCCCACTGGCCTGGTAATTAGACCCAACATCACCAGTACTGAGATGAGGAAAAGAAGGGCTCTAACCCTGATGAGATGTGGTCCCATATTCAAGACCACATGGGAAGCTGGAGTCCTAGTCCTGCCCTGTCCCATTGTGTGATGGCAACATCACCAGACATTCCTCCCCTGAGATTCTTTAAGGCTCTTTGTTATGTTCTCTGGTTCTGCAGCACTTTCTTCCCCATCCTGACATGAGAAGCAGAGTCTGGCCCCTTCTGGGCAAGATTTAGTAGACAGTGCTTCCTGAAAGGCCAGAAGAAATGGACCTGGACACCAGTGTTGTGGACGTGGAGGGCCCAGCAGGAGCCCCAAGAGAGTTGAGAAAGCTGGTGCCAGCCTCCTCACTGGCCTCAGATGGGTATAACCCAAAGCAGATTTTATATCACTACCTGGCTGTGTGGCCTTGGGCAAGTCCTATGTACCCTGTGGGCCTATAGTCAGTCCCTGGGGCCTCTTGCAGATCTCCATACCAAGTCTGGGAGGAATGAGGGTTTGAGGGCCTTCAGGACAGCAAGGCTTGTTGGGTGAAGCCCCTGAAAGGGCTGGAGGCTCATTTGGGAGAAAGCCATGGGGCCCCTCCCCTGCCAGTAGGGATTAGAGTGTGGAGAGGTGTGTGGCTAGGTAATGCAGGCTCAGGCCATTACAAGCCATGCAGCCCAGGTTGCAGAGGAAAGAGAGGCAATGGTAGCGGGTGAGCTGGCTGCAGAGGGCCTGGTAATGGGGGCTGGTGGCCCGCAGGTTAGTGTAGGATTTCCTGGAGAAGAGGCTTATGTTATGGCTCAGGCCGTAGCTCTGCTCAATGAGATGCATGTCAGCCATGATGTCCGACATCATCTGCCCAAACCACTGGCCGTTCAACATGGCCATGGTCACACACACAAACAAGATGGCCAGCTGTACCAGAGTGGGAGAGGAAAGGACAGGACATGGCCCTTCTGCTGGCTTCTCTCACCATAACAGGCTGCCATGGTGGTTGGAGCATTGAGAACGTGGTTTCACATCCATACTCCCACCCTGTGGTACCTTGGGCAAGTTACTTTAACCTTGCTGAAACTCAGAATCTTATTCTGAAAAAATGAGATTAATAAAGGTACCTGTATTCAATATATGATAGTGATAGACTGCTTTCCTTCTTCCATGAAAGCAGATATTGCATCTGAAGGCTTTGCTAGAGTGCAGGCAGTGATGTCTGCAGGGCACAATTCCGTAAGATGGTTTCCTAGACCTGATCCTCATGCCTGGAACCAAGATTCCTATCTCCAGCCCAAGGGTGCACTATATTTCTTGAGCTAGAAGTGCCTCCTTAGCCCACTGTTTTAGAGGTGGTTTGGACATTTGCAGCCACACCAGGGCTGGAAAGAACCATTTGCTGTTGTTACTTCTTCCAAAACCTTCTCTGGGGCTGATTGACTCTGGGCCAAGTCACACCCCGAGCACTGGGAACTGCCCTTGAGGTGCTCTCAGGACATCACTGAGAGAGATGTGGAAAGCAACCAGGATGAATGATGCATAAGAGGCCCAAGCAGCACAATTCAGTTGAGGAGAGGAAGGAGTGATTGAACCTGATTAAGAGGTGGAGCGGGAACTCAGGAAAGGCTTCTCGGAGGAGGTGATGGGCGAACTAGGTCTGAGAAGATGACGAGGCCCAAGATAAGAAATAAGGAAAAGCATTCCTGGCAGAGGGCTCAGCATATGCAAAGGTGTAGAAGCCTTTCCTGACCTTTTGCCCTCTCTAGATACGCTTCTCTGCATCCTTGTCTTTGCCCCACTCATCTCCCATTCCCAGTTCTGAACACCTCTTTACCCCACCAGACTGAGCTCCCCAAGAGCCAGGCCTGTGTCTGATGCTGTGTGCCCAATGCCCAGCTCAGAGGCTAGCACAGTGGATGTTTTTGGAATGTATGGTGGTGCCCAACTGGCATGCTAGAGGAATGGTGAGCAGTGTGCCACCACTGGAGCCAAGGAGAGATGAGCAGAGTGGCAGGAGGTAAGCAGAGCTATGATCAGAAGATGAATGGCCTTGACCACTGGGCCCAGGCATTTGCACTTAATTCTGTGCACCCTGGATGCACTTTGAGCAGAGTGGTATGCCCAGAGGGGTTTTCCTAAGCTCTGGCAATGAAGAGTGGGGGCTGGGTGGAAAGAGAGGGGCCTGTGTACCTGGGTGGCCTCCTCCTCATTGCATAGCTCCCTCGGGTGGTACATGGCAAAAAGTATCAGGTTGCAGAAGGTGCAGGTAGAGCTGATATGAAGTAGAAGGGGAAGAGGCAGCTCTGTATGAAGCCCAGCGTGTGCTGTGACAAGCTGCTGCCCATCACGAAGGCTGCGGACAGAGGTGGGGTTATCAGTGGTCAGCAGTGACTATGGACCCCCAGGTCCCTCCCTGCTTACCTCCCTCCAGGGCCTATCTACGCCC